ACAAAGGGCAAATTCATCTTCCAGCGCCCCAGCGCCGCGGTGGAAGGGCTCGGTGCCGGCTGAGGCCCGCTGCTACCGGGCGGTCGAGGCGGGAGGAATCTCACTCTGGAAAGAAAAGCCCCTTGTCTTCTGGAAAGCGTCGAAGTAGATCATTTGTCATGCCGATAAATTATTACCAAGATCGCCTTAAATTATTAGAAAGCTACAAAAATTTCCTTTGCCTCGTTTTTGGTTGTTTTGGTTGTGTTGGTTTGGTTTTTTTTTTAACACGGGTTGCTGATAACTACATGCCATGCATGTAGAAAACTACCAGTTTCAGTTTGTAGCCCATTGTAATGATGCACTAAGTGCAAACTTGTCCTAGTGCAAAGTAGTAATACCCCTGGAAATGCTTTCCATTTACAGTAAGTTTTAAAATGTGTAATTGTAAATTACCAACCGCACCAAAACCTAGAGACCTGTCACGGAAAAATTTACAGACTCAAACCTTAAAGTGTAAACCAATTGACAGGATTTCTTTCTCTAAAGTGCGAGTTACATAACGTTACATCGTTAACTGGCACATACACACGCTATTCATTGCAAAACCGTCTCAAAAGTAGCAGGAAGCCAGTGAGCGATCGAGCACTCACCACGGGTCAGATGCTGCCCTTGAGGTGCTTCGCCAGGGAAACGGTCCTGCTAACAGTGCCTTATCAGCGAGCAGCAGCATGTGGGACCACTCCGATCCTCAGGGTCAGCAGAGGGCTGCAGGAGAGTTTACAGGGCTGGCACCTGCTCCGAGTTCCCAGACTACCTGTAGATCTAAATATTGGATCTAATACTAGATCTACGCATTTCCTAGAAGACGTAACAGTTGTGTATGCTTCAACTGAACAAATGGTTGGAGATGTTATTAAACTCACGTGAAACAGTAATTTTCAAACCCTGTGGAGTAAGAGTTAACTTCATGGTAACTAGAAGGTTAACAGAAATCCCAACACGGAGTTCAGTCTGACAGAGTAAAGCACTGTCATTCACACAGAGGTGGAAAATGTGACTTTATGTCCTGTTTCTTATAATTGTCTGTCTCTGAAGTTTATTACTTTACAATTTTCTTGAATCTTTGCATGTACTTACCCTGAAACACTGGCCCATATAGATGTTCCTAAAATATAGTGAAACTGCTTAGATCAATTCATACCAATCACTCATTTCATGTTTGTGAGAATTTGTATTTAGCAAGGACAATTCTTTAAGCTTCTTAAGGGTAAGAAACAGATGACAAATGTGGATGATGCAATAGTCTGCTAATCCTGAAACATTTAGATAGGGAACAAAAAGGGGAACACAGGATGTCAGGAGGGAGCAGGACCCCCTTAGGAAGCACTCTGCAAATCAGATATTCTTATCAGTCAACAAATGTAATATGTCTTGCACAAATATGCAGTGAGCGCTTGGAGATAGCATAGGTTATTAATCACACCATAACTTAACTACATACTGCTCAAATAATTTTCAAGTTTCTCTTGTCCTGTACATTGTGTTAATTAGCTCAATGATCAGCTTGTATTTAGATTCCTGCTTTCAGTAGTAATTATATAACCCTTCGATTCAAAAGCCATATAATGCTTCTAATGTTAATAAAGATGTACTTGGCATTTACACAGGACTTTCCTCAGCATTTCATAGGCAAGCCACTTCGACATTTCTAGGAAATACATAGTCATGTGACTGTTACAGAGGAAAGCAAGTGTGAACGTATGTTTCTGTGACTCATACACTAACACAAAGCAACAGCACCTACATTAAAGAGTAGCATCCCATAATTTGTTGCTGTATTTTACTCTATGGATAAAATTCCTAATGAGTGTTACTGAGTTCTCAGGGCACTTTCTCTGCAATCTGCAGATGACCTTTTCTGTAATTTTGCCCATAGCAGATCTGTTAGTTTCTGCGTTGATGTCAGGACACGGCAGTAACCTGTCACTCTGGAAACAAAACAAATGCAACTGTGGGGGACTCTATGCTCTGTGAAGCTTCTATTCCCAAAAGCTTCTCAAAACCTGCCGTATGCTCTATACTGAAATCAATGTTGCTTGCTAATACAAGCTGCTGTGAACTCACTGAAACGACCTGTTTATGTTAATTAACAGAGAGGCTGGTAACCATGTTTTAAAAATTGCTCTGCCTGATGCACTCTAGCATACAATACAAGCTTGTAATGTGTTGTCTTAAAATGCGCCAGCTTCTTGTTACAGCATTTTTTATCATTTAATTCCATTGAGTTATGACATCTAAGAAACATACCCTTTGATATCTAAAAGTGAGCCCAAGGTACCTCCAGGATAACTATGTTTTATGGAACTGGTGTTTGCAGACGGAGCTTGCCGTCAGAACTAAGACAGTGTCCTTAACACTGGGACTATGGCAGTGTAAGAGCAGCCTCTCCATGATGGAGTAAGAAGAGCAGGCTATAGTAAGCAGCTCTTGCATTAACTCTTAAGAACCTCATAGATTCACTTATCGCTTTCCAATTTAGGCTTCTCCCAGAACCAAGGTTTTTAAGTTGTGTTTAGTACCTTTCACTACACTGTGTAAACATCTTAGATAATACTAACATTTTATACCCATATAATTATCTCACATAGGTCTTTCAGCTCTCATCTGAAACTGTATCACTAAGTTTCAGGTTGCCTGGAAAAAAAACAGCAATATACAAGTGTGGACACAGTGAAGCATCCCAAAGCAGTGTATGAGCATTGAGAATGAGCATTCTTACTCATAGCAAAAATGAGAAAATAAATGTTTCGGTCTCTTTTCTTGAATTTAGCAATTTCCCTTTAACACACATCTGAAACTTTCTTCTTCAAAAATTTGCCCACTCCTCCCAAATATCTAGCTTTGCAGATTTTTTTAAAGCTTCTTTAATCCATATTATCTCAATCTTGTCTGGGAGATCCAACAACCAATTATGAAACTGTTAACAGCATACTGAAACTACTCCATAAATTCATAATCAAAAAGACACTGTGAAGGGCAGAGGAGGTTTCAAAAACAGAATCAGGAGATGTTAGTTAATATAGTGTTGAAATTCTGTCAGGAGCGTGTGATAAAATGCTATTTATGTCCACTAAGAGTATATCAGTTCCTAAAACATTAAATTCAGTCTGTCTTTAAGTGTCTGCCTGCTACTAAAGTGATGCCTTCACTAAAAGGATCAATGAAATAATTATCTTCCATTTCTCCTCATGTTGCCACTCTAATGTGGCATGTGTAGGACATTAACATAGGTAGTTTAATTAGGTAAATCATCTCCATTGGGTAAACACATCCCCCTTTACAAAATAGCAATCTAATTTATCATTCCAACCTGAAGCACAGCCTTTGGCTGTCTTCTGTCAAGATTCTGAACTAATCCAAACACATTTATCGTATAGGAAGTAGTCTGTCATCTTCAAGCATCTGTCTTGTGCTGTTTGTGTAGCCCATGGCTTAATGATATTTTTGTCTCCTTATTGCATGTTAACTTCAGGTTTGTCTAATTATGTATTGTTGGTAGATAATTTACATTTTTCCTTTTTAAAACCACCACCATCTGTGATTGCACCAGCTTTAAAAACTTTTTAAAAAATTAATCTGCATCTCTGTGGCCTAAATTAGGGGGTGGTTAATACACGCTCTCTGGACTTTTGTACACCGTACGTGAATTGCAGTATTTCCTAAGTATTTCCAGATTCAACTAGATTGTAGTATTTACACTGCATATATTTCTTATTACCCATTTTACATGGCTATGCTTTACACATGCCACAGATTAACAATTCACCTCTTTTGCATTTCCTCTCTTCTTACCCCTTTAACTGGTCCCTCCCGAAGAGCTATCTGCATACAGCTAGTCACACCAGCCAAAATCTGTCAGTAGCCACGTGGCTTCGAGACAGTTCCTGGGCACTGGCTAGTTCGGGCTACTTTCTTCTCTAACGTACTCCTGCTCAAGGCACGTCAAGCCCAGCCAGGCGTCCTCTCTGGTTTGAAGATTTTGTCTCACACTCTGTCAGGTCACAGCACGAGGAGCAGGACCAGGCCGCCGCTCTTTTGGGGGCCCGCCTATGACCCCCACACTTTACAGGGGTAACGAGACCCCCTCTTCAGCCCCGGCTCCTACTTCCAACGGCCGCTCTCTTCCCTCAGCCTGTCAGCACCGCGGCCGCCGCCCTACGCTTCCCCGGCACCCAGAGCCGAAGGGAGACGCGGCCGTTACAGCCAAGCGGGAC